TGTTTGATTTCTTTTCTAGCATTTTACTTCAGCCATGAAGGGGCACTTTTTGCCTTAAACTTCATTGCGTTTCGCGTTCTTTGTAGTGTCGTCAAAATGAAGGAACCTACGATTTCGTAAGGCAGTTACATCGCTTGGGAGATTGACGATTAGGGGGTGGCGAAGCAAGCGATCTCGTTAGTGCGGCATACGAACAAGGACCTGATTGATTTGACCCTGTGAGCCGCTGTAATCCTCTTGAAACCTGCTCTTTAGAACACTTCAATTTCCTGCTTTTGTTTGCTGTCCGTTGCTTTGTAGTCTGATGGGAAGGTGTGGGAGCATGCTTCGGGAGGAAGAAAGGGGCAACCACGACACCAGCAGTTCTCTGCGTTCTTCTTCTTACTGTTGCTTAATTGATTACCTGCTGTCCTGCTTAATCTTGCTGCGGAACCCTTTAGCGCCGACAAATAGGGGATAGCGACTGCCAAAGCATAGAACGGTCAAACAGGGGTGGCATTTTTCAAGGAGAAGACTCCGATGCGTGCGGATAACGTTAGTGTGTGAGATCAAATCAATCGCTGAAGGCTATACCGGCCGCACGGCCCATCGCAATGGTGATTCCAAGCGAGGGAGGGGTGTCGCAGCGAGAGGGGGTGCCTCTGAAACAAAAGGTCTTTGATCAGACTTTTTTCCGGTTTCCTGTTTCCTATGAGGTACGAGGAAGGGGGGAGAAAGGGTTCATATCAGAAGAGGGAAAGGGGGGGGGGTAGCAAAAATTTTCCCCAACAATAGGACGTGCCCTGACCAGAGGAGTTGCAGACAAGAGGAATAACTGGCGGGACTGAAGGAATTGAGTTCGGATCGCTCGCAGATCTTGACCGAGGTAGTGATTTCTTCCCTAATGCAGGCCAAGAAGAGCGGGGAGGAGCACGATTGCTGTGTGGTCCACGTGTGTAACTGCGCTAGCGTCCGATCTAGTTGGTCTATAGCGCTCTATGTAGCGCTCTCCGGCCCCTGCCACCTACTTCAGTGTTCCCTACATGGTATTAGGGTCAGCAACCCCGGAGCTTTGTGCCCCTAAAAAACGTTCCCAAGTTATCACAAGAATGCTGAGTTGTGGGCAAAAGTCGTGCCCCAGGCGGGAGTCGAACCCGCACCTCACGCTTTCCGGGCGAGTGCGCTATCCGTTACGCCACCAGGGCCGCTTTTACCCTCTCAGCTTAACGGCTTAACAAAACAGTTCCCAAGTTCATTATTCCCTCTTTTGCGCCTTTCAGTGCTCTGGCAATCTCTGTCCTCGATCTGTTTGCGCACTGGTCGTTAGAAAGCATCAGCTCCTGTCTGCCCTCTTTTGCGCCTTTCAGTGCTCTGGCAATCTCTGTCCTCGATCTGTTTGCGCACTGGTCGTTAGAAAGCATCAGCTCCTGTCTGCGCTTCGCCGCCAATTTGGTGTTAAAACCGGATTGAGAAACAAAATTAGAGAAGATGATTTAGTTAAATGAGCGAGAGTTCCAGCTGAAGCGGTCCGTTTTTATTACAGGCACAATCCGTTCCATATTTTCGACGACGAGACACCGATCGAAAAATTTGTGGACAAATACGACTCTTCCCTTTTTCTCTTTGGTTCTTCTACAAAGAAACGCCCGAGTAGTTTGATCTTTGGACGAACTCATGACGGACATATTCTCGATATGGCTGATCTCAGTATTGTGAAATTTGTTTCTGCTCGAAATTTCGAGGTGACTTTCTGCTTCTTGATTTAATTGTACTGATGCTAATTATGCTGTTTAGACACCAAAAGTACCACTGGGTACGAAACCATGCTTGTGTTTGGAGGGTACCGAATTCGAGTCTGATCCCACTATGAAAAGGATAGGAAATCTTCTTGTCGACTTTTTTAAAGGACCGACTGTGGAAATGGTACTGTTTCATTCGAGCTAAGATCTCATTTAGAGTGTTGTTGGTTTCGAGCGTAGAGGCGTGTGAGACGGAATGGCTTTGGCGCAGCGTCAAAGGCGTTATCCACTAGTTGATGAAGCGGATAAGCGGCAGCTGTTGGTGAAAAACGACTGATACGAGCGGAATGCTACAGTCTTGCCACTTGCTCGCTCCACATCTGGTGGGAAACAGGTGTGCCGCGCCAAACGACACGCACTTCATCCGTAGCGAACACGATTCCATATAGAATAGCTTCCGCAGTACCACTGCTTTTTTCAACTTCTTGTAGTATTTTTGCAAGGTATCAATGCACACCCTTTGCAAACAAGTGCTATTTTTCTAGATTCGCCTTGAGGGGTTGGAGTCATTTATATCGTTCACAGCAAAGGACAATATGATCTACATGAGAGTATACCGGTTAGTTCCTCACATCGATTCCTTTCAATTCAATTCAGTTCCTTTTTCATATAAGCCTCAAATAGCCAGCTGTTTCCGGGTGCTGTAACATGGTTTGGGGGGGGGGCGTGATTGAGGCTCTCGTCATCTGCGGCTTTCCAACTGTGAACCTGGAGGAACGGCTATCTGGGTAGGAAGCGCGAGGTGTGAGGAACCTTGGTCGCACACAGCCTGTCATTGATAATCGCTATCAGCGCGATTCTGCTTTTCGAATTCGAATATGTTTAAAATGAATCCTGCATTGGCACTTGTTTCTGTAATTTATTAATCCGCGTTCATAATGCGTGATTGAAGAGGTTCGGCTGTTTGGGCGATTCGGCGATTAGAGAGGTTGCACGACGAGGAAAGTATAGGTATCGATCTGGCGAGTGCAGAGATATAGCGATCTGGTGATTTGCGAGACTCGTCTATCGCGCGCAATGAGTGGATGGGCAGCTATTTGGCGATTGTGGAGATCCGGTGATCCAGCGTTTTGGGAGATCGCCGAGTCTTTCTAATCGCCCTATTGCTCAATCTCCCAAAGGATCGTTGGATCTCCACGTCGCCAAATCCATGCCTATATGTACTTACCTAGTCGCGCGATCTCTCAGATCGTCGAATCTCCCAACTCCCGAATTTCTTTAGCTGCAAAGTATGAACGCAGCCCTAAACCCTATGTGTGACTCGTGCCACAGATTTACAATGACATGCTTATTGTCAACACCTTTTCAGAGTATTGCTGATGAAGAGTGCTACAAATGTGCCACGAATAGAGCTTCTTGAAATGGGTCCATCTATCGATTTCAAGGTAGATCGCACAAAGCTCGCTAGCGACAGTCTGTACAAAGCTGCATGCAGGAAACCGAAAGCACTCATGGTCAGTCCAGTTTGCACCTTTTCCATTTGTTTCCGAAAGAGGAAGTTTTCTGAGCCTTAGTCACTTTTTGAAATATTATTAACCCCGTCACTTTTTGAAATATTATTAACCTTCAAAATTCGCCTGTCACAAGGAATATTTCTTAGCAAATTCCTTTTGGCACACTTTTCGTCAACTACTGACTGGGTTTACTCTGAAGATAGGCTGATTGTTATGCATGAATAGTCTTTTGATTCCGCCGATACCGCATTTTTCTCCCACAATCTCGCCGCTCTTCGTAAACTGAACGACAGCGTTGATCGATTTTATTCTCATTTGGTGCCAGTTATCTTCAGAATTGCATCACTCTTAATTTTCAGTCCAAACGCCGAAAGAACATGTCAGAAGATGTATTTGGTAACCAACTTGCAAGAGTTCATGTGGGAAAGCAGAACACGGACGCCATTCAAACGAGGTTTATTTGTTGTTCCATCATTTATAACCATATTTTCACGAGTGGAGAGCGCACATTGTATAGAGCGCATCCTCATCTCGGAGCATTTGTTGTGCGTTTTTGTCTATGTGAGTGATAAGTTTTAAAATGTGCCTTATACACAGAAATTGAGGTAATGTCGGGTTAGGCGGACACAATTCACGTTAGAGAGTAAGTAATCTTGATACAGTGTCTATATGTCCAAACTAGTTCTTCTATTTATTGATAAAATGCGATGGAAAGAAGGCAATGGTGAAATGATGGGAATTCACTCGCTTATTTTTAAGTTGCATTCCGGGTTGGCCGTAAAGGCTTAGGCAGGGGACCATCTCATTCGTCCCTCCTAACACCCATAAAGTAGGGAGGAGGGGGCGAATACGGAAGGTGCCGTGGTTCTCTGTCTATTATTACCTGTTTATTGCGGGATGTTCCTTGAACTAGCGATTGCTTATCCACATTTAGACAGCACAAATTGTCTAGAGTCAATTCATAGCCACCGTCAATGCAATTTTCAGCGCTAGTAACCTTGTTGAGGGGGAGGGGAGGGAGAAGCACGTCTGTAAGCGCTTGTCAGCATTTCACTTCTCGTAAATTGTACATATGGGAATACCAGACAAACTTGTGAGCACTCTGTAAGCTTTGTTATCCCCTGTCAAGCACCCTGTGAACTCCAGTCAAACTTGTTAAAATCACTGGTCAAGATTTAGAAAAAAAAATGAAGAAATAGTGTTCCAGTAACGTTACTACCATTCGGTCAAGGTTAGCAGTTTTCAGAGTCCTCGACAGGAATCGCAGAGTAAGACACGATTGAGGAAAGCTGTTCTAAATAGAATGTGCTCATTACGGTGGCGTGTCTCTAAGTCCACAATCGGGCAGTTTTATGTGTCTTGACCATTCGGTGACTTAACACAATTCGCTAAACTCGTGAAGCAGTCTGGCAGCAGAAGCAGAAGCGGTCGGCTCGGCAGTCTTGCAATTTTAGAAATTATTCACTTAGACTAGGCAGTTTTAGGTGATCACTTAAAGGCGGTTGGCAGGACAGATCTCTAAGGCGAGTAGAATCGATACGACTGAGAGGACGGATTTAGCGCCCCTGAGTAGGCGCTGCTTAGCGCCCTACCAAGCTGCAAGATACCACCTGTATGCTCACCAGCCCGCGACCTGGACGACAGTGCCTGATGCTCGTATTACTTCATTTGCTAAGTGAAATG